ATTTTCTTTTACCTTTCTGTAAGTCTAAATCTTGAATAAAATTAGAATAGAAAATATGAAATTTAAAAAAAAAGAGCATGAACAACAGCAACAAAAAATAGGTAAATTGGACTTCTAGTTTCTAGTTCCTTAAGGTGTAAAGTTAAGTTATTGATTTGGGCTTTTTAATCTTTTTTAATGTAGGCATTTACACCTGTATATTTTCCTCTGAGTACTGCCTTTGCTGCATCTCATAGGTTTTGGTATGTTGTGCTTTCATTTTCATTCATCTCTAAGTATTTTCTGATTTCCTTTGTGATTATGTATTTGACCATTGTTTGTTTAATATTCTGTTTAATTTCCACATTTTTTTTAAATTTCCAGTTTTTCTTCTATTATTGATTTCTAGTTTCATTCCACTGTAGTCAGAGAAGAAACTTTGTATGATTTCAGTCTTCTAAAATTTATTGACAATTGTTCTGTGACCTAAGTTATGGTTTGTTCTGAAGAATGATCTATGTGCCCTGGGGAAGAATGTATATCCTGCTGTAGTTGGGTGAAGTGTTTTGTAAATGTCTGTTAGGTCTAATACGTTTATAGTGTCATTCAGATCCTCTTTCCTTGGTGATCTTCTGTCTGGACATTCTACCTGTTATTAAAAATAGTGTGTTGACATTTCCAACTATTATTATAAAACTGTCAATTTCTTTCTTCAATTCTGTCGTTGTTTGCTTCACATGTTTTGGGGCTCTGCTGTTAGGTTCATATGTATTTATAATTGTTACCACTTCTTGATGTATTGATCCTTTTATAATTACATAGTGTCCTTTGTTTTTTATTTAAAGTCTATTTTTACTTAAAGTCCGTTAAGATAGCCACTCAATAGAAATTGATTTCTATGTGCATGGAGTACTTTTTTCAGTCTTTCACTTTCAACCTATTTGTGTCTTTTGATTTAAAAATCAGTCTCTTGTAGACAACATATAGTTGGTGTCTGTGGTTTTTAAGCAATCTCTGATGTTTAGCCCTATTTTCCTTAGATTCCAGTGACCTCACCAGTCGGACTTCTATCAACTGGGGCTTCTAATCAAGCTGAACTGTGGGAAATAAGGAAGTTGTATATTAAGTATCCTCTAAACATTATGGCCATGTATCATCTCCAGAATATTGGAGAAAGATAGCTTTTTTCAATCGAAAATAATATGAAGTACTAGAAAAAATACTAGACTGGGCTAGGATCCTGGTTGTATTACTACTCCATATGCTAATATTATAAATTTGATAAATCACCTAACCTTGCTGAGCTTCAGTTTCCACACTTGTAAATGCAGCGACAATAGTCCCTGCTTCACAGGATTGCTGTAGGACCAAATCATTTGGTGAAAATGGTTTCTGAGAGTGCTATTCCAATGTAAGATATTATTATGTCCTCTGCTTCTGTTGTTCCCTGGAGCCAGAAATTAAAACTTATGTAAACCAATCAGCCTTTAATAATAAACTATAGATATTAATATAAAATAGATATCACATATTATTACAGAAAATATTTCCTTCTTCCTGTTCTACTTTTCTGAGTAGCCGTGGTAGTCCAGAGCCAACCAACAAATATTTTCTATACCACGTAGAGAAAAGTAGTCTAGTAACAGAAAAATAGAATCTTTCCCCTTCACTCCTCCTAGGTTTGAAGATTTATTTAGAGAACTGGAAAATCATCAAGTGAGCCTGGGTATTGCCAGCTATGCTGTCTCTGTCACCACCATGGAAGAAGTCTTCCTTAGGTGAGAAATGATAATTACAGCAAAAACAATACTCTGCCAAAAGTTATGAGTACTTTGGAAATAAATTTGACAGATGCCAGAGAGATCAAAATGCTGCTGGGGTTGTAAGTATGCTAAGTCCTGAAGATATAAAT